AAAGGGAAGGATGTGATGCGATCGTGCAAGCAGAAGTACGATACGGATTTGCATGACGAAGCAAGCGAACAGAGTAAGTGACTGGACGCTTACGCATTTTCGCCTATGCGCTGATTGGTTCGTATTTGGCTACGCTGGATCGGGTTCGTTTAACTGATACAAAGGAAGAACCTCATGAATGCAGAAGCGTCGCTAGTTATGGAATTAATCTAGTTATTTATATCGATGTTTCTACCAGATGAGCATACTGTCATGTTTGCTGAGCTTACTTTGTAGAATAAACCACTTGTCTCTGAAGCGCCGAGTTCTGTGACAAGTGGAATGGGCATATTCTTGAGCTAATCAGGCTTCAATGAACCCACTGAATCTGTTCACCCACACACTATTTGTGTTAGTTATCAATATATTATCTGACTAGCTTCGTGAACGGTTACTTCCAATGTTAAATTTTCATCCGATATGGAGCAACGAGGAGGTCAATGACAATCTTAGTCCCAGCATCAACAGCCAATAGATGGCCTGGGGGAGGGCAGCAAAGACTAATTGCCTGCGTTGTAAACCGGAGGTCGCCGGTTCGAATCCGCTTAGCTGCGGGCGACCTCGTGGTATACTCAGCCCTCGCGCGACTGATGTTGATCGAACGACAGAGGAGCTTCGGCATATTGTTGATGCAAACATCCGAAAATGAAGAACTAGCTAAACTTTGACCCATTTTCTATCGCATAGTTCTTCAGATTTTGCCACACATTTTCCACGGTCGTTACCTTTCATCACTGTGACAACGGGAATCATGGCAGCTGCATTTCAATGTGAGGACTGTGCTCGAATAAATGGCCTAAAGCTAACACTGTATCTTACTCGGTACAGAGGTAGGGATCGAAAATCCACCATGATGATAAGGTAAACGTGACAAAAGTAAACGATCTGAGATTGAGTTCCTAAGAACTTTTGAGTCACAGATGTGTGGAGATGAATAGAACGAGCCTTATCTTGATAAGATGGTATGACTAAGTGTCTTTGGAGTATGGTTTTTACACCACATTTAAAAATTAAAAGTGGTCCTTTTGTAGCCTTACATCACTCCAAAAGAGACAAATAGGATACATTCCTGGTCACTTAAGAGTGGGGTATTTTCCATGTAATTCATGATCAATAAAGAACGAATGAGCATCCGATGCATGTGTTGGCAAGTCAATGTCACTAAACACAGCCCATTTGTTGATCCACTGGGGCACAGAAGTCACAACTATTTGGCTCATCTTTGAACATACTATCGCTTTGGATACGATGTTCAGTGTGAAGCGGAAAACTGCGACATACTCATCCAGAAGATAACAAGGAAACCGATATATTGGGATCCTCCGTGAAAAATCTAGTTTGAGTATGCACCATGGATACCGTTGGGCAAAGATATTACGGATCCGGGTCGATAAGAGCACGAGAAAGTAGACAATGTGGGAAATCGTGTTAAAGCAGATCCAACTCGAAATAGCAGTCTGTCTGTGGGCTGTGATTGCGTACAGAAAGCAGAACGAAATACGTTGAAGAAAAAGTAGGTGGGTACTTGACTGCACACGGCTAGGTGCACGTATCAGAACATAAACGTCCCTACTATCCGATCCAGATGTGTTTCTGTGGTACAAAACTCTGTTTCAGTCGCTTGTACTCGTCAAAAAGTTGGAACATTTTGGTTTTTCGTTATTTAAAGGTGTTTCCACCTGCGAATGATGGCGATGGTGACGTGGTTTTACCAGTTTCGATCGGCGATGTTTAGTGTGTTAATAACATGCCTTGTTCGACGATGTTCACTTCTGTACACAAAACGCTCAGCACTAAGGGGCCGTAAGATATAATGAAGCGCATCACTGGGAAAAGTTTGTCTAAAATCAAGTGAAGACAAGTGATTACGAAACTGGAGGGAGTTTTCGATCACCGCTCAGCCTTTAAATTTTCCCCCCGGAATCCAAAGAACACTTCGCAGGGAATTCGGTCGATGTGAGAGTCCAACCAGGAGGTAGCACCAGAGTTTGTGGATAGGTGTACTGCGCTGCCCCTACTAACAGTACGGAGGGCTGTGTTGCAGGTTAAAATAATAGGATGCTAGGATCTCAGTCGATAGCTACGTTAATTGATAGGGTGTCGTACTTCAGAGTCCCAGGACATTCTCATCATCATCATCACCAACAGCAGTACATTAGCCAGTTGAACTGATGCTTCGCTGCCGTACAACCAAGGTGAATTAAGGAATGAAGAACAATAAGAGGGATAGAAAGAGGACCTACGGTAAAACCTTAATGCCCTGAACAATCTTTCAGAGTCAGAGTGCCTACATCTTGTCAACGACATACCATATAACACAGCTGCCTATCGTGCAAAGATAAGGCGGCATCCGTGAGACAGTTTCCTTGCGGCTTTCACTGCCTCGCATCATAATCAGCCATTATCCCGCAGATAACTCGGCACAAAACACGCTTTAAGCAGGCAATCCGACTAGACGACAGCAGACACGCCAGTGGTGTGAGCCATGTGCTGTAAAGTCTCAAACCAAGCACAAGGTGAGTCACGTGGACTCCAGCTTGAAAGGGAAGACGGACCGAAGGCACCGAGCTGGGTCGTCACTGACTTCATTTCCCGCTGCCAATTCTTGCCCACCTCGAGCCTTGTGCTACCCTACATCTGGTAGACAAAACGACGCCCTCCACGGTAAACGCTGATCGAGCATAAGTAGTAATTGGCCAAGCCAACGGCACTTATTCACTGCTATCTGTTGTTCTAGGGAACTAGCACGATCATCAGTGCTTAACACTCAACAACGCACATCATCGTTACGGACACGATGCTATGTGACGCCAGCAGTACTCCGAAGACAGCGATGATGAAAGACTAGAAGATGCATCAAATCTTTAGACAGAAGGGGCCAAGTCACTCCCATAGAGTGAGACGCCTCTCGCTGTGGCCGTATATACACAGTTTTTTATACAGAGTGATACCCCTTTCTGACGCCACAGATTCAAAAACGCAGTTCTAGCTTTTCCAATGTGTGAACCGACCTCAGTTGCTATGTGTCCGTGGCTGGTACGGCTGCCAAGGTAGGTGAAGTGATCAACTACTTTGAGTTCCTCCCCATCAAATGGCACTTGGCACTTTGAAGGTGCGAAGTGCATGCCAAATTCCGGACGTTCTAGATTCAGGGAAATTTCCGAAAGAAATGATTTCCGTTAGACTACAATGCTTTTTTACTGAATACTTCCAGAGACATGTGGTATCGATAAACAGTGAATCTGAGATCACCATGGGTGATTATTAAAAAGTTTCTCATACAAGGTTATTTTACGAAAAACTGGAATAAGGGCATAATGACACAAAATATATCACGTATCGTGGTCAGACAGTAATTCCATTGGGATTTATCTTATTATATTTGGAAGTGAACCACTTTATCCGGATGGATTTCTCATAAAAATTGCAACCATGTCTTTCAAGCGTACATATAATAGACTAAGTGACTGTCAACATTATGAAGGAATCAACTATTCGGTGGGGACTCATTGTCGCACGCAACCTGGCTATAAATAAGTAAATAAATAAATAATCGTTTTAATCCTCGACGGTGCGAGGCACAATCCAACTGAGTGGACTGATCATGTCCATCGCGAACGAGCCCTAGGTATAGTGACTAGCAAATGTTTCCTAACGCTGGCTTGCCGAACAACCTCCTCGTGGTGCCAGCTGGGTGGTTCGGGATTTTCCCGTTCCAGCAAATGGTTCGGCGGCAGTGTTCCAGGACGTGGTGGGTTTTCGCCTGGCAAGCGTTCTCCCTATAAAAAGCCACATATGTCCGTTTAACAACACTGTGACGTGGCGGACGTGACTCGCCACTAAATAAAGTCACTGCCCCTTGCTTCATCCTGGCGAAGCATTGTATTCCAGCAAGTTGATGCTGTAATTTCGGGGAGTATTGGGCCCCTGTTTGGCAAAGGAACAAACGAAAGGCGTATGAACTGAGCAATCAGTCACCGGCTCCCAATGGGCGCGATTCCCTGAATTCGCTCCGCTGCCTTGCGGACAGGCTATTCAGCCAAAGGCTCGGGGTGGTGTCCCCTAAGTCAACACCCTACTTCGGCTTGGGTAACCGGGTAGTATTTCGCCCTCTGAGGAAACCATGGACATTGTTGTGTTGTTTTTTATTTTACTGTTTCTGTACCTTCGTTTGAATCCCATGGTTTCTGATGGCATTATGTCTGTCAGTAGACTTTTGCAATATATATATATATATACATATATATCGTTGTCAACATATGTTGGAGCAGAAGTCGACGGCCGTACTGAAACTTAAGTCACCAAGACCGACCGTCTGGGTTTTGGCAAACCAAGACACCAGCAGTACCCCGGCATACTGTACCGATGCTTCGTTGCTGCCAACTGTCCCTCGTAAGATGGGTGTGCTGTGATGTCGTCCTCAACTATGCGGATTCGAATAAGTGATCTTCGGACTACAGGGCAGGCACCTTGTGCTTTTGACCCCCGGTTCAGGTTTTAAAAGGGTCGAGTTGAAACAAGCAGTCTCTGGAGTCTAATTCGATCTTAAACTAAGCTAACGCAAGCAATTAAGCTGATTAGTTAACCAGCGCTTCATTTTACACACTGCTGGTTGCGGAGGGCAGGATCAACACAGATCGGTGTATCATATAAAGACGACAGTCTGTTCAGGAAAATGTAGATCATCCAAAGAATGACAAGTGTTACTGTGCCTCAACCTCGAGTTAAATGGACTCATCAAATATGGGAAAGCAACTGTTCAATGCTTTTCCGGGCGATCAGTAGCTGTCCGAACATACTAGTGCGCGTAACGGTCGTGCATGTATAGGGACTGTTTTTATGGCAAATACACGGGATATGATGACGATGATGCTGACATGCGTGGAGCAGAATTAGGTGGTTTGTCGATAATTAAAGATTGAAACAATACATAAATGCGGTCGGAGGATCGCAAGACTCACAAGAAGTATCCAAAACTGGTAAGAGTGTATTCGAGGCGACAATCTGGCGCATCACATGTCGTATCTCTGATTGTATAGCGGCAATGGATTTCTTTTCTCGATCTCTAAACAAATATCATTACAACCGTATGAAAGACAGTAGTTACGTAGACTGGTCCACTTTTTCACTCTCAATATTGAATTGCCATCGTTCGAGTACCTCACCGGTTTTCACACACTTGATTACAAGCACCAGCTTCTGGACCACATCCATCATTAGCCAAACTGTCAAATTGGATCAACAGGAAAAGAGGACAATACCTTTTAGTTGCTCTAAAATGGTCTTGAGATATTTCGTCAGTCCCTCGTCAGCAGTCACCAACACACTGAGCTCGTATTTCATATTCTTTTTGAAGGAGGCCTCTGGATATATCTCTCGTTGATAAAGAATAGAGTTGATAGCGTAAACTACATTTCACAAATAAAACCGGGTGGCATACAGAAATAGTCGACTAGTATATCTGCGGAACCTTTGAGAGAGATGGCGCTGGCAGTGGCGGCAGCACTCGCCATTTAAATGCTATGGGAAGTAAGGAAAAAATCGGCATATACCTTTCTGCTTCAGACTGAAGAAAAAGAATGACTGGATCAATAAGTAGTGGATAGGTTGACTCGATGAAAACAACGGTGAAATTAACAAACGCATCCGTGCTCAGATTTGCATTAGAATGCAAAATGGGAACACAGTACTGTGGTCTAGTGATCGTGGTGATAGCCACCAACCACTATGTGCCGAGTTCCACTCCCAACTCAGACTATCTCTACCTGATGAGTCCAAACAAGGAGGAAACAGGTCATGGAGTGTAGGAATGGGAATGAGTAACACCAAAACCCAAATATTTCATGTGCACACATTGTAACCGATTTACTAGATCTGCAAATTAGAGTATCCATGATTTACAAGCCTTCACAACCACAATCATCATCTTCATTACCGTAACCGATAGAAAACGCCGTTTAATGTCTACCACAAGGTAGCGTTCATTCAGGGCCTCATCCGTGACCGTTTGGTTGCCGCTGACGTCTCATTACTGTCACGAAGTGCACATCCTTGACAAAATACAGTAGAAAACTCAACAGAAAAATTGGATTGGGCACAGGTTTTCCAAAAGTTAACTTTTCAACCGGATACGTGTAACCTTTGTACCTACTGTTTCCCCATCACTGTTCATTATTGTTACCACCGCAATGACGCGAGTAAGATCAACTGGATCCAATACATTTTTTAGAGCAAGGTTGTCTGACAGAAAAAAATGAGCAGCAGAGCCTTGGTGATAGACCCAAGTGGACGGACCACGGGTTGGGTCAGCGGACCGCGTAACATCTTTCTTGAGAATGTAATGGTAAATAATTGTCATTTGTTCGCAGGTGAGATGAGTAAGCAATCGCGGACAATCAGCGGCAGCGTTCTAGAGCGTGGAGAGTGCTGGGCTTATCACCTGGTTCCGAAGTAAATACCATAAGAGCCCGTACGGCGCTGTGTCAAATCCAATGTGATCGGCCATAGGGTAAATGACCACTCTTCTGAGACTAGAAGTATGTACCTAACGAAGGGCAGATACACAACCTCGGCGAACACAGGTTTATGCGTGGATTTCGTACACTATCTGGCAAACTTACCAACACCTATCGGAGTGAGGATAGTTTATGCGAGCAATTGTGGTGCACAATCCGCCTCAGGCGCGCAGAACTAATAGTGGGGGTTATCTACCGGAGCCCATTAAACCGTTGTTGCGATTGGCTACCACATGTACAGAAGCACATGAGCCTGCCCTCAGTTCTTACTGATGGGGGATCTAAATTTACCTAAGATATTTTGGCCAGACGTTCGACTTCTTCCCGGTCATGGCAACGTTGAGGCTCAATTCGCTAAAATGACTATTGAAATTGGGGCAACGCAACATGTCATCCAACCGACGCGCGTAACTCCGCACTCGGCATCTTGTCTGGACCTAATGTTTACGAGCTGCGAGCAGAAGCTGAACGAGATCAGAGTCATCGAACCTCTGGCGAACAGTGACCACTGCTCCATTATGGCAAGCTTAGAACTGTCGTTACCATATTACAATCAACGGAAGCCGACATTCAACTATTGGAAGACGGACTTCAACGGGCTCGTCCAAGCTGCAAGTCAGACTGATTGGACACTACCACAGGATGCGTCACTTGAGGCCTGTTGGTCATTAATGAAGGGGAAGCTTAACTCGCTCTGTACTCGGTTCGTTCCCCTTAAGTATTCAAAGATCGGACCTGTCAAACCGCATTGGTTTGATACGGAATATAGACAGTTAGCGCGACGGCGTCGCAAACTTTGGGATGGATACATCAGCTCGGGTTGTGATGAAGATTACACGGTGTACAAGAAACAGCGTAACTTATGTAACGCCGCAAAGATCAAGAAACGCCGGCAGTTCGAAGAGGAGCTAGCATCCTCGGCCACAACTGCACCCAAAAGAATATTTGCCTACTTGAAACGTCAACTGAAACCTGGGGCGACCTACCGGTCTTAGAGAGCTTAGACGGAAAGACGCTCATTTCAAGCGCGGAGCGCGCGGACGCCTTGGCTACGCACTTCCTCACTGTATTTTCCAGTAAACCGGCGGCGGTTTCAGTACCGGCACAGGTTGCGCCAGTCTTGCTCAACAGCCTACATTGTGATGCAGTCGAAGTGTACCAGCTACTCGTCAACCTCGATGGTGCAAAGCCCCCCCGGACTTCACCCACTAATACTCAAGTCCCTATCGATTATCATCTAACCAGCCGTGACAAATCTTTTCAATAAATCGCTCTCTGAAGGATCTGTCCCGAACGACTAGAAATGCTCGATAGTGAGACCGCTTCCCAAGGGTGGTGATCCGAGTAAAATAGAGAACTATAGACCGATCTGTTTGACTTCGGCATTATCCAAAGTGCTCGAGAAGGTTGTGAAAAAGTGTCTGCTATCGTTCTTCGAATCGATGGACGTATTGACGCCAGCGCAACACGGCTTTACGAAAGGGCGATCCTGCATCACCAACTTGATGTACGCAAACCACCAGTGGGTACGAGCTCTCAACGAACGGAAGGATGTTGACGTGGTGTACATCGACTTTAGTAAGGCGTTTGACAGAGTGAACCACGAGGCACTCCTTGGTAAACTGAGGACATACGGAATCGGTGGCACGTTACTTCAGTGGTTACACGAGTTTATTGTGGGACGAAAGTTTAGAGTACAGGTCAATGACTACCTGACAGACTGGTTCCCATCGACTAGTGGCGTGCCTCAAGGAACTGTACTTGGGCCAGTATTATTTCTTATTCATATCAACGATCTTCCGCAGCAGCTCCAGTCACCATGTGCCCTGTTTGCAGATGATTTGAAAATCTGGAGGATCATTGAGAACCAGGACGACTGCGCTCGCCTCCAGCATGACTTAGAGCGACTGTCAACGTGGTCCACTGAAATGCAACTCCCTCTTAACGCAAGCAAGTCGGAGTTCATCAGTATCACCCGAGGCCCAGCCACTCGATCATACACCTTGGACGGCCAGTTGCTCCATCCCAACACATCTGTCAGAGACTTAGGAGTTCTCTCACGACATGATATGAGATCACTAGAAAATACAGAGAAATTGTACCGTGCGGGACTTCGTATGCTCTGGGCATTAAGACGCAGTTTCTCCACATGGTCCGAAGAAACCGTTCCTCGTCTATTCACCTCGCTCATTAGACCAATCCTTGAATACGGTGCCCCAGCTTACCATCCGATAACCCAATGGGAAACTGAAAAGCTGGAGAAAATACAGCATATCGCAACTAGAATGATACCGAGTCTACAAAAGCTTCCGTATGAAAAACGTTGTGAAAGGCTCGGACTCTACACACTATCCTATCGCCGAGTAAGAATTGACCTTATTATGACCCATCGAGTACTACACTTAAATCACTTCCCCATACTGCGGCCAATATTTCACCTGCGGGAACCCTGTAACACCCGAGGACACCGTTACAAACTCAGGGTCCCCAACATGAACAAAGTATCACATCAGCTTTGTATCGAACGAAGAATCGTAAACTTATGGAATACACTACCCGAAGGATTAATAGAGGCCGATTCTGTGAAGTGTTTTAAAACCCGTATCGACGATTATTTCGGAAAACTGTGCTTTTGTGAAACGATGCACATACAATGCCAAAAGAAGACATTGTATGCCCGGAAATAACGACACTAGTACGAATTCCTAACCGAACAAGGATAAACGATTAACGGACCAGACACAACTGCTGATGATTCACAACTAAATGTTTTTGATTTTTCGTAATTCGATAGAGTTGTACAGAAACCCTTCTACTTGCTCTTAAATACACTCTCACAGTCTCAGTCTCACTGTGAAGGTGTATGAGGTACGTTGTAGTCAACGGTCTTCGTGCCTAGAGGCGAGTTCGGTGGTTCATGAAATCTTTTCTGGCCTCCGTTCCGCTGTATTCGAGCTCTTTGGACGCCCTGAGTATTTTGTAACTGTTTTAGCAGAGGTAAGAATATTCCACCGCCCCCGTATTTTTGTGAGTTTTGTCCCACTCACACTATTCTCATTTACGGTTCCTCGCATACGTTTATTTTGCCTCATTTGTGCTTAGCTTGTATGGACACTGAATCTTACACTTATTAGCTTTTTTTCTTACTTTGTGTATTTTGTTCGTTCGTGAGGCAACTTATCGATCCAGCCTTGACTGATCGAATGCCAGCCTTTCCGCATAGCCTGTGATATGCCCTAATTTGAATGTTGTGATTGAGTTGCACGGGGAGACGCTTGGCGGCCGGTTTGGCGTGCTGAGTGAACATTGTTACCCGGTCGTTGGTGTTCTCACTACTATTAGTGGATGGAAGCAATCGTGGGGCTCCGACACAACAGTAACTACTCGAAAACCGTATTACCTATACTTTGGTAGCCGGTTTCCAACGGTACGCAATATACATAAATCGCCCGGTTGTCTTGCGAGTTATGGCTTTGTGACGCAACGCTCCGAGTGAGTTTTCTAATCCAGCCGTCTTCCTCGGCCTGGGCAACCGAGAAGTTGCAGTTGTACTGGAATATGTAGTGTATTTTGATGTTGGCATATGAAAGTGCAGAGATTGCTCTTGTTCTTGCTTCATTCCATTGCAGAAGCAAGAAGAGACAATCCAACGTCGAAGTGCCGGGGGCCGCTTCACTTACCGGCACAAGAACTGGACGCTCGTTAGGCGGAAGCCTCTATCGTCCATCTGACCTGACCTGACCCATACAAACTATGGAATAATGCTTCAACGATTCTCTACTCTCTCTCTCTCTCATATGTAAATGCTTACCTCGGTTGAGTCAAAAATAAAGTCGTGGCCAAAAGCGAAATAAAAACACGCGAAAAATGCATTTTTCACATTTATCAAGGATTATTGCATCACTTGCTACACCCAATCGCTGTAGTCTGTGACATCAACTGCACCATGTAAATTGTAAACATAAACTGCCCCACTTCAGTCCAAGGACCCCACTTTGTTTAAAGA